ACAGGGACGGAATCTGTGGAAAAACCCGTGGGGCTGGGGAAGGGTTTGGGATTTTGGGGGTTGGGAATTTGGGGAGGGGGCTGGGATAAGCGAGGGCCCCGAAGGAGATGGAATTTGGGGGGGTCCCAGAGGGATTGGGGTATGGGGAGAGCCCCAAAAAAGGAGGTGGGGAACCCCCAAACCCCCCAAAATAAAAACAACATCGGTGAAAAAATCCCTTTAATGGCCACAGCAGCGCTGAAATTCCTGAATTCCCGACGAAATTCCTGAATTCCCGATGGGATCGGGGCTGGATCCAGTTTGGGGGGACAAATCCCACCCAGGTGGAGGCAAATCCCACCCTGGGGTGACAGATCCCACCCGAGGGTGACAAATTTGACCCGAGGGTGACAATTCCCACCCGAGGGTGACAGATCCCACCCTGGGGTGACAGATCCCACCCGAGGGTGACAATTTCCACCCAGGAGTGACAAATCCCACCCGAGGGTGACAGATCCCACCCGAGGGTGACAGATCCCACCCAAGGGTGACAATTCCCACCCGGGGGTGACAGATCCCACCCAGGAGTGACAAATCCCACCCATGGAGGGGACAAATCCCACCCGAGGGTGACAATTCCCACCCAGGGGTGACAGATCCCACCCGGGGGTGACAGATCCCACCCGGGGGTGACAGATCCCACCCGGGGGTGACAATTCCCACCCAGGGGTGACAGATCCCACCCAAGGGTGACAATTCCCACCCGGGGGTGACAGATCCCACCCGAGGGTGACAGATCCCACCCGGGGGTGACAATTCCCACCCGTGGGTGACAGATCCCACCCGGGGGTGACAATTCCCACCCGGGGGTGACAGATCCCGCCTGAGGGTGACAATTCCCACCCAAGGGTGACAGATCCCACCCGGGGGTGACAGATCCCACCCAAGGGTGACAGATCCCACCCGGGGGTGACAGATCCCACCCGAGGGTGACAGATCCCACCCGGGGGTGACAGATCCCACCCGAGGGTGACAATTCCCACCTGGGGGTGACAATTCCCACCCGGGGGTGACAGATCCCACCCAAGGGTGACAGATCCCACCCGGGGGTGACAATTCCCACCCGAGGGTGACAATTCCCACCCGGGGGTGACAGATCCCACCTGGGGGTGACAGATCCCACCCGGGGGTGACAATTCCCACCCAAGGGTGACAATTCCCACCCGGGGGTGACAGATCCCACCCGAGGATGACAAATCCCACCCAAGGGTGACAAATCCCACCCGGGGGTGACAGATCCCACCCGGGGGTGACAGATCCCACCCGTGGGTGACAGATCCCACCCGGGGGGCTCAGGCGGCCCACGGGAGGTCCCGGTGGGGCAGGGAGAAGGGCACCAGCGCCGAGTAACGGGAGTCGTGCCACAGCAGCCGCTGCTCCAGGAAGGCGACGG